ATGTAAAGTACTTGGCAACCAGTCCTACTTAAGAAATGTTTGTGCTCTCTCTTCCTCCCCCACACCCCACATATTTTTAAACCTAGAAAAGACTTCATAATGTCCCATTTGGATGCCTTGTTAGGGAATGAGAGTCCCAAAGAGGTCAATAGCCATGCTCGACAAACCACAGGCAGCTAGCTGGCAGAAAAGACACTATGCACAAAAAGTTTGTCCTCTCCGGAGACGAACCTGGAGGCCAGGCTGTGAGAACTCTACAAGGTTGCATCCGGAGGGATGGGATTGCTGTTATTCTCTGTGTGAAGTTTTGAGCGAAAATCCCAGAGGGGTCTTCTTGCAGCAGTATAAGGTTGGGGATTGAGTTGGTCCTACCGAAGGTACTTTCACCTTTCTGCAGCAGATGACGGAAATATTTCAAGCTATGGATCAGATCGGGACTCTGCATCCTCTTCCCTTCACACCAGCTAATGTGTTTTTCATTTCTCTTGGCTGGCTTGATTTCCCACATGTTCTCCCAAGCTCTTCCTCTCAGTTCCCCCAGGGCTTCCCACAACAAACCTGCTTTTGGCGTCCTCTCCAAGGAGGGGCTGCTGAAATGCATACCGGATATGTCTCTGGCTGTGTTTATCAGCCCCAGCCCAGACTCCTGGGGCTGAAGATGGCGGAAACAAAGAGCTTGGACAGGTCAGGTGGCTCAGTTCTTCCTACATTTCACCCCTAAAGCTTCCAGCCCTGGAGCGCAGGGCTCATCAAGCTTCGCCATCATTTCTTCAAAGACCCTGGCAAAGACTCTCCTCTCTTTGTTGTCTTATTTTTAAAAACATCAACAATAGTAGCTGTTACTATGGAACACTGCATTTTGCAATAGGCCTCTTACCTGTGGCTTCCTGTTTAATCCCATTACAACCTATAAAGTCGGAGATACCAAAATAGGCACGTTGCGAAACTAGAATAGCCCAAGTCTGTTCACGCCGTGTTGGCGGGACCTTCCAACTTCCCCTCCACGTCTCCTGTAAGTGAGGAGGCACCAATGTTAACGGTAAGCCCATGGGCGCTCATGCGCTGTGTGGGCCCGGCTTCTGTTCTGCTGTATGCTCCTTCTCTTCACTCCTGTCTTACACTCCTCCTCTGCAAGCATCCTTGCTTTCTGAGAGCCCTGGGAGTAGGTGAGCAAGGGCAGTTTCGGGGGGAGCCTTGCACAGCAAACGGGATTGATTAGAAGACATTGACTCTTTCAACGCCCCAGTTGGAAGTACTGGTGAATAAGACACTCAGCATGTGTTCTTGCTCTTCTCAGTTCCACACACACACACACACACACACACACACACACACACACACACACTTCATCTGTGTCATGAGATGCTGCTATCAGTACTCCTTTTGGATACACACTATATTTGGTGTTCGCAGGTAGGGTTGATGCTCTCAGGTAGGATGTAAAGTACTCTGTGGGTTCCATCAGCTCCTCTGACATGTAGGGTGAACACGGACTACAGAGAAAGCTTGCTTGCAACCTTTAACTGTTCCTTGGGGAAGCTGAGGTTGTCTGCCAACACATGCTGGGATGCCACAGCCCATGCTTCAGTTTTTCACCCATCCAAGCCTCCTTTGGTCTCCGGTTGAATTTATCTTCTTTCTAAACACAGCTAGCTCATCTGTGTCTCCGTGGGCATTCTTCTGTCTAGCATTTCACCCTACTATGTGTCTCTTATCACTTTGGTGGAATGTTAAGTTCCTCTCTTGTGAAGAACATTTCATATTCAATTTAATTCATCTGCATCACTGCAGATGCCACCACCCCACCCAATAATAACAACAGTTTCCATTTAATGAAGTACTCTGTGTTAGACAGCCTTCAACAGCTTATATAATCTTACATTAATCTACTGGGACTAGTGTTACTATTTCCACTCAAGTAACGTTCCGTGAAGAATATAGAAGAAAGATACAATCCCAACATGGTTTTGTAAAGGTCTCTGATTCTCAATCCGAGGCATCTCATATTCTGTGCTATTCTTCCTAGCACAGTTGCTGGAGGAATGAGTCTCCCCCAAGAGAATTTCAGTCTCACCTTCTGAAGATTCGGCATGACTTAAGCACAAAGAGGAATTGCACAGTCACCCACCCCACCCCTGCATTTCACTGATGAAAACATCGGAACCGAAGAGAGGAAAGTGTGCCGCATGCACACCATTTCCCCTACTGCCTGCCGGTCGCCACTCTACCTCTAATTTTCCTGAACACAGGACAGTAATTGCTCAGTACTGGAAAGCATAGGAAGGAAGAGGGTGTGGATGCAGATGTGTTTCATGCTACTTGATCGCTCTTGTATAGGACACCCAACTTCCCTACAGCTTTATTTTCCTGAGGATTTGTGCGTAGATCAAATGCCGGCTTCTCCGTTCCCGTAAGTCAGCCTCCGGTAAGTGAGTCAGCTTGGCTCGTGGCTGGGAGTCCGTGCCATGCCTTTGTCTTGTGTTGGTTGCTGGTGGATTGCATGTGGACAGGCTCTGGGATAAACACGACAGCACAGACATGCCGTTGGTTACTGTTTAACCCACTAGTGATAATTCCTACTAGCCTGCTGTCTACCTGGCTTTCGGGGTGAATTCTGGAAGATCAGAAAAGCAGAACAAGCCACAGCTAACTTCACCTCACCAACTGCTCAGCCAATCCTTGCTGTGGGATGTTCTGTATGCTGTAAATGTGCTGCTCTGATTGGTCAATAAGTAAAGTGTGATTGGCCAGTAGCCGGGCAGGAAGTATAGGTGGGACAAAGAAGAGAATTCTGGGAAACGGAAGGCTGAGGCAGGAGATGCTGCCCACAGCAGCTACCATGAGAAGATGTAAAGTACCACTAAGCCACAAGCCACATGGCAACTTGTAGATGAATAGAAATGGGTTAATTTTAGATGTAAGATCTAGATAGTAAGAAGCCTGCCATGGCCATATAGTTTATAAGTAATATAAGGGGTTTATTTGAGTCTGAGTGGCTGCCAGCCCGGACAGGACTGGAGATAACTCCAGCTACAAATCTGTTTCCTCAAACTGGAAGCCTCTGATTCCTCATCCAAATGGATCTCAGCTGAACCGCTGCTAAAAGCTTAAAAGCTTTAGTTAGCCTCTAGTGTCTGGTCCTCATGCCTTATATACCCTTCTGCTTCCTGCCATCACTTCCTGGGATTAAAGGCATGTGTCTTTCCCAAGCAAGACATGAGATCTCAAGTGCTGGGATTAAAGGCATGTGTCACCATGCCTGGCTGTTTCCAGTGTGGCCTTGAACTCACAGAGATCCAGATGGATCTCTGCCTCTGGAATGCTAGGATTAAAGGTGTGTGAGTGCCACTGGCTAACCTCTATGTTTAATATAGTGGCTGTTCTGTTCCCAGATAAGTTTATTGAGGTACACAATATATCAACCACATTTCTCCTTTTTTTGTTTAAAATAAAAAAGTTATAACTAATACAAGAAAAAGTATATACAATATATACAGTCAAGAATTACATTAACAATGTCTAGTCCATAAACATTTGACAGATTCAGACAAAAAACTCCATTATATACATTAACAATGTCCAGTCCAATAACATTTGACAAAATCAAACAAAAATTTTTATTACTTTTCCTACTTAAAACAAGTAATTCTTTTTTAAAAGTAGATTCAATAATCTTTTTATCTTCTTATATCTATATTCTCTCTTTTTTCTTTTCTGAGTAGATTCAAAAATCTACCTTTTATCTTATCATTTCTATATCTTCCTTTTTTCTTTTCAGATTAAATAATCTACTCCTTTCTATATCCTCTTTTTTCTTTTTCTTTTTTCTTTTTTTCAAACAAGTACCCTATATCTATTCTCCTTTTTTTAGATTTTTTTCTGACCATTAACAATTAACAACCTGTAACCAACCTTCATAAACAATGACAATTATCCATAAGCCATTGAACAACCAAAAACTACCCACCCCACTCTTGGGAACGTAGGTGTTGTTTTCTTAAAATTACTTCCTGCTTTCTGGGGGTGAAGACATCTTTAGGGAATCCTGAAAAGAAAAATTTTGGGTTAATTGTCAAGTCCTGGAAGAGTTAGCTGTATCATTTGTCCGGTCTCTGCATAACGGGAAAGTACAGGGCTTGTCTCAAGTCCTTGCTCCAGTAGTCTGTGAATCTGGATCATCTCAGCTAGCCATCTCGAAATTGTCCTGAGCAGTTTGTAGTCCAAAGCCGATCTTTGGGTGGTATTAATCAACTTAATGGCCTTATCATAGTCAATGTTGAATCCCCTGTGATTTGGAGCAATCACAGTATGATAAATGTCTGCCTCTCGCTGGGCAGTGGTAGTGCACACCTTTAATCCCAGCACTCGGGAAGCAGAGGCAGGCAGATCTCTGTGAGTTCGAGGCCAGCCTGGTCTACAGAGGGAGTTCCAGGAAAGGCGCAAAGCTACACAGAGAAACCCTGTCTCGAAAACATTCTTCCCTAGAAGAGAATATTTTCACAGCAACTTCTCCAAACTGACCTTTGCTGATGCTTTCTTGTAACACAATGGTCCTGGCAATTGTTCTCTGAACAAGCAGCAGTAAACCTTTCATCCCCGATAATGGTGTCGCCACCACCAACACGACGAGAAAAAGTGAAGTTCAGTCTCCTGAGGGTCACACACTTAACAAGTGACAGCAAAGGATGTCAACACTGCTCATTGCTCTTGGCCTGTATGTAAAGGTTTCTCAACTCCGGAAGTTCATGCTGGGTTCATTGTACTCTTGGGTATGAGGGGCAGAGGTAAAGCTGGAGAACTGCAGTGATACATTTTTGTGAAAATTATCTCTTGACCACTCCTACAACCAAAGGCTGAATTTCTGGAAGACCTCACAGAATAATTAGTCCCCTTGAGATCATTTCAAATCATGGACCTAGCTTGCGGTCATCCTCCTGTGTCCTCATCCTGTTCGAGTTTATCTTGCGCTTGAGAGAACAGTATAACCAATCTTCCTTGCCCTTCACTGCCCATGCTGAATGTACAGCTTCAATCTGAGGTTGCGGACTCCTCCATGCCCTTGATCCAGAACAATGTACGTGCTTGCTGTGCTCATCATTTGCTGAAAGCTGCCAACAGATTGGAATCAACCTTAAGCTATAAATATCTACCATTTATGTTGCAAGCAATGTAGATATAGGTTGATACCATCTGTTTGAAGTGTTGGGACCTACTGAGGTCAGCAAAGTGACTTCTTCCCTGGTAAAACTTTGTTAGAGATTTCTGTAAAGAACCTCTCATTCTTCGCCCATGCCATGTTTTCTCCGCTACTCAATAAATGCAGGGCAAAACCGTAACCCCAAACCTTTCCTATCAAAACCTTTGCTAGGAAAGCCAAACACAGGGACAGTCACAGCTAATAGGCCCAGATTCAGACACAGAACAAATAGAGGCAACACAAACAGACGGAAGCAGACATATGTAACATACAGGGTAGAGACAGATCAGCAACCACAAACTCCAGACAGACGGAAGGCACAGGGAGAGAAGTGAAGAGTTCAAATTTGGGCTCACTTTTGATCAAATTAGTCCAAAAGGAAGTTCTTTGTTTACAATCTTTAAGGTGACTCTGATGTATTTCAGTGTTCTCTGAGGTTATCTTTAACGCATTAACTGACACAGAGAACTATTGCCCAGTGTGACAGCCCTCACTGACTGGTTACCCCAGAATCAGACATAACAGAATTAGAAGAGACCACATTCATTATGATTAATGTAACCTAGTAACCATCATCTGATGAGCACACAAATACAGTGAGTGTTCTGAAGGAACTGTGTCTAGTAATGGAGTATGGTCCTAGTCTGGGGGTCAGGGAGGTCTGTCTAGGGTGTGCATTAGTCAGAGTTATATAGAGAGTGAAAGGAGGAAGTCATTTAAAGCAAAAAGAACCCTGACAGCAAGGGGGCAGCTACTGCAAACTTGTGAAAACTGCCAAAAAGAATGGGAACTTGGAAATCCTGAAGGGAGGGGGCTCGGTGCTGTCATCACATCACAGGACCCAATCCAATCCCGTCTCTCATTTTCATAGAGGAGAAAACAAGTGTAGGGAAGTTACTTGTTCGGTTAGGGAATTACCTGATGTATAAACTGCTGACGTAGCCATGCCATCGTATAGGTTAAGGGGAAGGCTCTTATTGTAGATGTGAGGGAGAGAACAGCCAAAGCCATCTGGAAGAGTCCAGAGCAGGGAGAGAAAAATAGTCAACTGGGCATGGCCAGCAGGCTGGACCAGGTCAGGAGAGAGGCAGGAGCTGGGGGTGGCGTGGTGGCAAGACAAAGAGAGAATCAAGAGAGCACACAGACAAAATAGCAGGGCTATAAGGAGAAATGGGTAGCTAGGGAGAGGGAGGCCCATGAGCTGGAGAAGTTTAGGGTGAGGAAGGAGGTTAAAAAAAAAAATAAAGCTGGGTAATTTTAACACTGTGGGAGCCTGGAGGCCAGCGTGCACTTTGGTGTGCTAATAGGCACCACAGGTAGCCATTTGTCCCTTCTGCCAGTGATAAGTGAAATTGCTCCTTTTGGTAGAGGGGCACTGGCTTCATGAGTTCCTGAGGAATGCTAGCTTTTGTCTAAGTGCCAGAATGGGTAGAAATTAGAGTTTCCTTTGGACCTGACACCTAGGTGGCATGAGAGACCAGGCTGCCTGAAATTGCCAGGACCTCCAAGAAGTCCCTCAACTCTTGGGGTTTCAGTGTTCTTGCTTGCTCTTGACTATCACACTTCTTCCCTTAAAAATTTCTCAAAGAGGCTCTCTTGAGTCTGTGTGTTTACTGAAAACTGAATATTGAGTCAAAACTGGCGGCACACAAGAAAGAGGAATTAGTGGGACCAAGGAGATGACCAAGTCTGACGAGGTCGTTTGATCCCTGTACCCTATGTGATGGACCCACAGGTTATCCTCTGACATCCAGGCATGCGCCATGGAATGCTCACTTCCACCCCATCCCATTCCACCTTGCAAGTGTGTGTGTGTGTGTGTGTGTGTGTGTGTGTGTGTGTGTGTGTGTGTGTGTACATAATAACAATAAGTAAATAGTTTTAGAAGGAAGGAAAGGAGTGAGGATAGATCAGATTGGGGGTATAGCTCAGCTGTGCTTGCTGACACAAGGGCCCGGGTTCAGTTCCATCACTGTGTAGGCATTGTGTTACGCATCTCCAATACCAGCACTTGAGGGATATAGGCAAGAGGATCAGAAGTTCAAAGTCATCCTCGGCCACAAAGGAAATTTGAACCAGACTGGTATACATGAGACCCTGTGAGGAAAAAGTGAAAGGAAAGAAAGAAGAGGAGATGGAGGAGGAGGAAGAGGACAAGAAGGAGGAGAAGGAGGAGGAAGAAGAAAGAAAAAAGAGGGGAAATTACAGGAGGCTCACATGTTCTCATATTCATCATTAGCCAGGAAAATCAAAAGAACTCAGGGCCAGCAAAGGCAGATGGCCATTCACAGGCCAGAGGTAACCCACAGGTATGCTTTGTTTGAACACACGATATTTCTAAATGTTTTTGAAATTTATTGCTACTGTTTAGGAGTCAGATTTCATATGTAATAAATTCCCTAGAGCTACTGCTGGCTGCCCACCTGCCCTCTTTTCCTGATTCCTGAAGTGACAGGTGCATTTGTCACCTAGGGTCCTACAGACTGGCTGCATGTGTGCCCTGCCCTGCCCCACAATAGCCTTTTAAAGACCTGTAAATGACAACCTTGGAGTGACCATGGATTCTTCTGTCCACATGACAGTACCAGGCCCGTCAGCTGTTGCTCCAGTAGACGGTAGCCTCCTCCCTCCCTTTTCTACTGCCCTCTTTCTGGACACAGTTCTCCATGTCCACCTCCCTTGGAAAGGGATACATTCAGAATCAAGTACAGCGCTCCCCAGATGTGCTTACCCATAGAGAAGATTTAAAGACATCTGACATATTTATGTGCCATAGTTTCTATTTGGCATCTAGGGCCACCAAGCATGATGACAACCCAAATAGAAAGAAGCTTCATAGCATCTGAAATTGTTTCTTCCCCTTGAAAACAGCAGAACAGAAGAGACAGAACAAAGCAGAGAAAACAGAACATTATTTCCTGAGACTGTACACAGGCAGATCTCTAACAATGCGAGAGGAATGACAGGCATTTTGAGATTGTTTTCTGTTTATAAATGTAAGCAGAGAGAAGAGCCTGAGGAATCTACTTATAAAGTCCTTATAAAACGGTGCCAATATAACAGCTGGATGGAGTTAGAGCCTGTTTTATCTGTTTCCAGAGTTAAACCAGGTGTGTGTGTTTGTGTGTGTGTGTGTGTGTGTGTGTGTGTGTTTATGTGCATCTGTATGTGTGTATATGTTTATGTGTATGTGTGTATATGTGTTTATGTGCATGTGTATGTGTATGCATGTATTTATGTGTGTGTGTGTATGTGTGTGTGTGTGTGGTGTGTATATGTGTGTGTTTTCCCCTATGAGATTAAAACCTCACAAGTAGAAAGCCAGAGTAGCAAGAGTGTCATAGAGAATTCTGGTTTAGAATTTGACACGCTGGCTACTTTCTCCGTCTGCCTCTGGCTATCAGGAGCTCTTGGGAACCACTAATGTCCTTATTGTGCAATGGAATTATTTAATTAGCTTCCACTAACTAGGACAGTGCACCCAAAAGTGTCCTTCATCTGCTGCCTCAATGACCCCCCCTAAAGTAGTGATAGTTCTGTGGTTCCTCTAAAACTGACTTAGTCATTTTTTCAGTTAATCTTGTACAAGGCAAAAACACTTGCAAAACTGTAGGTGTAGTGTGTTAATTATGACTTTAATATACATTGAAATAAATACTGAGGAATTAAAATTAAAAGCTGTTTTTGTCACATACTATCTGAAGTCATTTTTATATATTTGTACATGTCTCCTCAGAAAGACTATACTTTGGGTTCACTGATGGACTCCAAGAAGCCCCTAAATTTGCATTCTAAATTATATGTGTATACTTTAGGGATACTTAAGTTCCTAAATTCTTAAATGTGTATATGAATTTCTTGTGGTTCTTGGTGGTCCACTGCATCCATTAAGAAGCTGAGGGCCATTAGTTCCAGTGGGGTCTCGAGGAACCCATCAGGTCCTTTTGGGGAAGCAACTGAGAAAAACAAACTTCAGTTTTTAAACACCCTGCCTAAGGTCCTTTTTTTTTTAGCAAGTTTTCTCCCATATCCCACATTTTTAAATGTGGCTAAGGACATGCTGTTCACTTACTTGGTGGGTGAGAATGGAGAGAGCCACTCCTGGACCGAGCCTGGGAAGTCAACAGGGCACAGCCTAATCTTGGCTCCATCTTTATCCCAGACAAGATTGTCTTTGACGCATTGGAATGGCAGTGCCCTGGGGAAAGGAGAGAGATTTTACTTCAAGTGACCTCTAGAATACTTGGCGAGCACCCCCAACACCACACTCCTACAGAGCACAGCTTGGGCAGATCCATTCCTTTCTTTTTCCGAGGACTCGGAAGTCGAGCTCCACAGGACTGTTGCAGAAAGAATCGTAACGCACATCTCCATCCCAGAACCCCTTTGCGGGGTGGACCAGCCTGCTGTGTCTCCACCTGCCTGTTTGGCAGCTTCCTGAATTTCCATGTCTTCAGCCCGGATTGTTAATAATGGCTTCATTGGCGTGCCCATAGGAAAAGACCTTCTCTGGCCCTGGAAGAATAAGAATAAAGGAATAAGAATGCAATAGACAGATCCCACACAAGCCTTGATCTTGCCCTACAGTAACTTCCCAAGGATGGGCAGAGCTATCCCCAGGTCCCAGCCCAGAGTTAGTGTTGAATATGTAATAAACATCGAATAAATGAATTCCAACTACTGTTCAAGTCAGTTATACAAGACATTTGTTGGGGTAGGGTTGGCAATCAAGAAAAGCTTCCAAGGGCAGGTAACACTGAACGAAACCATGGTCGGGTATAATTTTTGGAACATTGGAAGCTATGCTATCATGTGATGGAACACAGGGTCCTGGAGTTGGGCACCAGATGGCGTGTGAATTCTGACACTGTCATGTGCTAGGTTTTCCTCTGAAGACCTTTCTGAACTCCTCCGAGCCTGAGCTGCTTTGCCTACAAAATAAGAGTAATGATAGAACGTACCTGTGGGTATCAGATCAAAAAAGTACACATGAAGCTCAGAGTGTCTGTCCTTGTTTTTCAGGGTGGTTGTCACCACTGGCATCTAAGAAAGAAGGAAAGATAGGGAGAAAGATGAGGAAGCAGAGTCCCAAGGGAGAGCCAGCTTGACTCTGATTTCTACAGTGATCAGCTCACCTCGGTGAGTGCTAGGTAGAACTTGCACTCTTAACGGCAGACTCCAGAGTGGCGCTGCAGACAGAGCATCACCCCTTAGCAGCCTCGATTCTAATCAGCATGGTTGCCCGGCCTCACCAGTGGTTTGGCTTCTCTGCCCATAATGGGACAGAGCCTGTCACTGCAGCCATGAGTGTCTTCGAATCTACAGGTCCCGGAGGCAGCTTCTTTTCCTGGCTGCATTTCCTTTAGGGAGAGCTAGACAAAGAGGTCATGCAGCCATGGGGTCTAACCAATCACGCAGGAGGAGTTAACAGACCCGCCAGAGCTGTGGGTGAACTTTTGCTTCTAGGTGGAGCTCGCTGGTCTGAACATCGGTGGCACAGGCTTCCCCCAGTCACAAGTCCAGGTGGGTATGGACATTCCTCACATGTTTATTATCACCATGTCAATCAGAATCTGCTACTCTATATTTTCCACATTGCATGCATCACCACCTGATAGCATTAAGGCAACACTTGCCATGTTGTAAACACTTAGGATTATTATCATTATGCTGGGCAAAAACGCATGATGAGGAATGTCTGGTGCGTGCTTGTCAAATGGTGAAGGTTTGCCTCTCTGGCTGGGAATGGGGGTGAAGGTGACAAGACAGGGAGAGGATTTTGTTCAGGGGAGTCTCCTTTGAGACAACACTTGAGACTCGCCTCAAACACTGGAGTGACGTTTCCTAAGAAAGGCTGAGGCACAGAGCATTGCAAAGGACCAAGGACTGGTGTTGAGACGTAAAAAGCACAGGGAGCATTTGAGACCTGGCGACGCAGTTCTGACTGGCTGAAGGTCTAGAACCGTAAAGGGGAATTACAAGTTAACCATGTTAAGAGAAGCTTCCCAGCGTCACAGAGTTCTGAAGGCTGTGCCCATGTGCACTGGCTGCCTGTGTTTGCATTTAGAGAGTCAGTGAGGTCTATACAATAATGTGATCTAATGAGCGCTTTTGGAAGAATATATCCATGACCCAGTGAGTAGATTTGGGATAGGTGGGAGGCAGAGATCTGAAGCCAGGGTCATGGAGCAAGTATAAACACAGCTCAAAGCATCCATAGATCAAAGCATCCTTACATCCACAGGCAGGCAAGAAGAGCCAGAGATGAGGTCATTATGGCCACATAGTCGAGTGGAAGCTGGAGGTAATGTCACTGCCTGCAGCAGGAGCAGAGAGGTCAGGAGGGGGAGGGAGGAGAGACTGGGGACAGGAGGAGGAGAATTACATAAAGCCTGACCTTGTCCGGACTCACATTTCCCACTGGGTGAGCACTTACGGACATACAAGAGGCTAAGTCCCAGAGACACCTGGGAACACAAGCTTCAACCCCAAATGTGAATAAGTGCTGAAAGGATTTTTAAGGTCATGCTCACGGATACCATCTCCATGGAGGGAGCCTACCAAGTCTGAGAATCACATGGTTTCCACAGTGGAGGAAACTGCCTTTTATTATGTGTGTGTTAAGTCTGTGGCTCCGGACAGCTCTCAGCTCATCAAAGCCTCTGCTTTGGCATCTGTGGAATAGGAATGATAGTATAAATATCTCATGGAGCCTTTGTGGAGACAAAGCATGTGTATGTGAAGTCCTCAACATGCTATCTACTATGCAAAGAACTCAATACATAGTAATAATTCTTAGCAATAAGTTGTTACTTTACTTAAGACTGAGGTTGAAATTATGAATATTTATAGAGGCCAAGTAGAAAGAGGAATAGCACGGACCATTTTCCCCCAAGAAACATCAACAGCTGTTCACATTCTGCAAATTACTGGCACAGACGGATGGCCACACCTTGCAATTTTCAAAAGAAAACAGGAATGTAGTTTTTTTTTTTTTTGAGTATGAAATTCCAATTTTGTAAGTGTTAATGCTGGATTTAAATTACAGAGAAATGTGGGCCACATGGAACAGATCTGGGGAGTGGCGCCCGAGGCTATCGTGGTGGAATCCAGTTGAAGGCAAGTGTCCAGCTTGAAGAAGCAGCCTGGGGAGCAGGTGCCTTCGGAAGACAGAGTCACCTGTGTCTGCCATTAGGAAGTCTGGCCTTGGTGGTGTCGGGGAGATGACGTTTTGAAGGGGTCCAAAGCTGGACGAGCTGGGCTGTGGCACAGAGAAACTTAAGTACCCATAGGTATTTAGCTGCTGTGCAGAAAGATAAACAAGCAAAGTGGGAAGGCTAGCAGAGACAGAAACCGGTTATCTGGCCTGACTCGTTAATCCACTTCTTCGGTAAGGATGGAGGTTAAACCAGAAAAGGTTACAGCATGGGGGGCCAGAGGAAGAACTGGCCTGCCTATGTGCCTGCCACCTCAGCCTCTGACCTTTTGCTCCCCAGGATCACAGGGCCAGAAACTGAAGTTCTAGAGAACGGCACAAGCAAGCCGGAGTATTAATCAGGACAGCCAGCAGGTGCAGAGCACCCTGCCAAAGGGGTAGCGAGGCATTCCAGGGCTTATGTCTCAAAGACAGGAAGGTCAGCACTTGCCCAGCAAGGACTGAGAAATCTTGCTGCTGCCCTAGCGGGTGGGGCACTGGGAAACAGGAAGGAGAGTGTTTGTTGTCCTTTATTTGCTGGGAAATGTAAATGCCCCATTGCTCTCTCCCTCTGCAGATAGACAGACTATGGCTTCACAATGTATGGCATTTCAGAAAAGACGTTACTCAATCATTTCTCAGTGGCAGAACTTTTCCTTTAAATGGCATCTTGCCCTAACCCCCAATATGGAACATAGTTTATAAATGAGTGATATGTATATTCTTCAGCAAGTGTGAGTCTTTGCTTTTGGTGGTACACTTTTTTTTTCTGTTGTGAAGCCCTCAGATGTGCCTAGTAGGAAACTAGGATGCTTTGAAGCACGCTACAGAAACCACTTGCACAGTCCACTCTTTCTGGGGTGTTGGGATCTTCAGTGATGAAGAATCACTACCCCACTCTCCCAATTTGAGAAACACACAACCACAGCATCTCTCTGCACTCTAACTGACAGCTGTGAATAAGAGGTATCTTGCAGTGGTGGCGCAAACCTTTATTCCCAGCATTCGGGAGGCAGAGGCAGACAGATCTCTATAGATTCAAGGCCAGCCTCATCTGCAGAGCTAATTCCAGGACAGCCAGGGTTACACAGAAACCGTTTTGGAAAGAGAGAGGAAAGAGGAGAAAGAGAGAGAGAGAGAGAGAGAGAGAGAGAGAGAGAGAAAGAGAGAGAGAGAGAGAGAGAGAGAACAGTGGTGCATGAACTATAAGGGCCTTGTGTCCACCTGGGCTCTAGAGACCGTTGGCCCTAACGCGTGAGACAGCATTCTCTCTATGACACTGGAACAGATCCTTCTTGCTCACAGACCTTCATTATCCAATCGTGGCTATCACTTCCCTTGAAGATCTTCAGAGGAAATGGCGCTGCTGACAAAGAACAGGGGCCATTATGTGAGGTTCTAGAAAGAGCTTGACCCAAGGAGAGAAGGCTGAGCCGCCATGACAGGCCGTACTCCATTCCCTGCATGATTCAGGAAGGGTCCTTCCTCTTCCTGTGCTGCATTCTCTCAAACCATACAAGAGGAATCCTGCACCCCACAACCAAAGCCCAACTCTCTTTGTTTTCATGGTGCCTAGTAGGAAACTAGTTTCAACTACTACAAGAATACTGTAAGAATTCACAGGGAAGGGAGGGTTAAGAACCATCTGACCGCAGAACCAAATGCTGTGGAGACCAAACCTTGGTCAGCCCCAGAATTCATTTAGTCCTATTGGCTGGATCTTCTCTGCGTGGGCATCTGCTCACCTCCAGCATCTGTTACTGTCTCCTCTGATGGTGCTGTTCTAGCCCTAGCCTTCTCTCGCTGCTTTCCAAAATAAAAGGCTTGGTTGGTTCAGGCAGTGACCATCCATGGCACAGCGTTTCTGCCAGACGGAGCATTCACGCCTCACAGGCTGCCAGCCAGCCTGTCGCTAGCTGTCTCTGGGTCTAGCCATTACTCAGGAATGCCAAGAGTGCAGATGTCAGCGCTTTCTATAGATAGGATGCAGGACAGTAAGCCTCTCTGCATGGCTTACTTGGTATGACCACAGGGGTGAGAGAACCAAAATGGCCAATGAGACAGAGGATCCATGAGTGTGAAGGGGCAAATGCTTCCTTCACAAGAACACCCTTTCTCCTATCCGACAGAGGACAAATGTTAGGCCTGGAGAATACACTAGTCAGTGAGCCTGCAGACCGTTAGGCCAGCTCTACCCTTCTGTGTGACATTTCTGTCTTCCAGTAAGAATGATTATAACAATAATGCCTCCCGAAGGCGGTTGTGAGGGTTAAGCAACATTCCGAGTGTAAAGCCTTGAGCCCAGGGCCTGGCGTGAGCAAAAGACAATATTTAGTTTAAAAGGAAGAAAAGAAACCTACAGAGAGTTCTCCTTCTCAGAAAATGTCCTCAGAGAAGAACAGAACAACATTGCAAGAGGAAATTCAAGTTCCGGGGAAACATGAGATGTTAGTGTTGTTCTCTAAGTATATGAACTAGATGTGGATGGGGTGGGGGCAAGCAGGAACAGCCAATCAGAGGGGCTCCCAGGTACAGGTCCCACTTTGCTGCTTCTGTGGCTGATGCTGCAGCAGCAAGCCAAGAAGCAAAATTCAACCAACTGACCCAGACTCAAGAAAGGCTGGAGATTTTTGTTTTCTTTTGCTCGCTAAGTACATTTGTTTGGAGAGGTACCATTCAGCAGCAATATCAGTGAGGCCAGCTAGAGTCAGGAGAGTTAGCTGGGCTCAGGCCTATCCAGTCCATGGAAGAGGCCACCAGTCACAAACAGGGAGGAGATAGTGCTAGCACTTCACCTGTTTTTAAGGGTGATAATTCTGGTCAATATTTCTCCCCTCAACAGGACATTATTTTTCTCTCCCCCCTCAAGGTCTCTTTTAAGTATCTCCTCACATCTCTGCTTCCCACCCTGGCCAACTCTGAGCCCATCTCCCCCTAGCCTGACCCGTCACATCCTTCATTCCAATCTGGGCCCTAGTCTTTTTCTTGTATCGACTGCTACCCTATCATCTGGTTACCGACTGCCTCCCTGTCAATCATCTGACCCCTAAAGGAATGGCCAGCTTCAACAAAGCAGAAGGCTTGCTCGCTTTATTCATTGCTGAGCCCCACCCCCACCCCCAGCCCCCAGCTAGTTTGTTTATTTGTTGAGAGTGACTCTCACATGGCTGAGGCTGG